GGGGGGGGGGGGGGGGGGGGGGGGGGGGGGGGGGTTGTTTGTTTATTTGTTTAAACCGAACAAGGAAGGTTTGTGGTCCCTACAGAAAAATTAAATAAGTGAGTTTCTGAATAAGAAAAATAAATTGTGTCAGGTCACTGGAATAGTCAGGAAGGGGAAAAAAGAAACTTGGAATTCATACCTATACTTACACCAGGATAAATTCCAAATAGATCAGAGATTTAAATGTAAAACCACTAAAATACTAGAGAAACCATAGTAGAATATTTTCATAATCTGGGGTGTAAAAGAGTTTTGGAATTCAGAAGTTGTAAAAGTAAGAATTGTTAAACTTGACTGCCTACAAATGAAAAATGTTGGTGTCATTGCTACCATAAGGAAAGTCAGAACACAAAGGCAATTTGGGGAAAAAAATACTTGTAACTCCTGTCACAGTCATGTAACTAATTCTCTCATAAGAAGACTCTCCTCCAAATCAATAATAAATGCAAATTACATTCACATTAAAACTATACCAACTTTCCAGCAAAAACCAGAAGGTTGATAATACAGTGTTTGCATGGATGTGAGAAAACAGGAAATCTCATACATTGTTTTTGGGATTTTAAATTGGTGGAACTTCTGTGGAGAGTAATTTAGTGACACTTATCAAAAGCACAAATGCACATTTCCTTTGACCCAGTAATTTCACTTCTAGTGCATTATTCTACGAATATATTTCCTAGATGCAAAATGACATGTATACCAACTTACTCATTATAGCATAGTTGACATCTAGGCAGTAGTTGCAAGAGTTACAGTTCAGGGATATAGTTGTAGAATACAGTTATAGAATACAACAGTGTAGTTGTACAAAAGGAATTAAGTAGCTGTTTATATCCTATTGAGGAAAAATCTTCAAGATGGGTCATTGGATGAAAAAGGCAAGGTACAGAACTACATATATATGTGTGTGTGTGTATATTTTTATATATGTGTATGCATATATATCTGTTGTTTCTGTATAAATTAAGAGTAATACATATATGTTTATTTATATTTGTGTGTATTTGCTTATGTATATATATAAACACATTGCTTCTGGAGAAGGAAATGGGCGGCTGGGGACAGTACAGATTTTTCTCGCAATATACTCTCTCGTACCTCATAAATATTGAAATTTGTAAATGTGTTCCTTTTTTTTAAAGTATTTTTAATTCAATTTAAACACAGTGATGATTAAGAGTACTCATATATGAGTTCCAAGTTTTAATTACTGAGAAATAT